TACTGATTGGCTTGTCCTGGCTGGGGGTGGGGGGCGGGCACGACGGTGAAGTCTGGGCAGAAAATCTTTGGTGATCTAAATCAACATTTTCCTTGGATATCTTCAGCAATATCCAAGGAATCAATAATTCAACTTTTTTTTTCAATTTTTGAAAAAAATTATAGAAAAACTGTAAAAATAGAAGTTCATTTGTAGGTAGTTCTGCTTTAAGTGAAACACAATGAGAAAAAGTCACCTATGTGTTAAGAAAGGGTGCAGGGATTTCAAGAAATCATAGTTCAGCAAGGCAAACAGGAAATTATAACCACAATCTAGAAACAGAGCCAAGACAACAGAAGCTGACATCTAGGTATTGTTTATTTTTAATGGTTGCTAGCCCAGCACAATTTGACACTGATGATGTCTGGGAAGTGAGGGAAAGCCCTAGGAAGTCTATCAACCAGGCCAGGAGCACTGTGAGGCTAAGACTGTGTCTCATGTATCACTGATACTCTGGTTAACATCAGTTATCTTTGAAAAGTAGGTTTAAAGCTATGATAAGTGGGTTTAAAGTGTGATAAAATTATGAACGTTTGCAAAAGAGTTTCCCTTTTCACTTGTTGCCTGGCTCACTGGGGGGTAGGGGGTCCTCCAGGTGTGAGCTGGCAGACTTTGCAGGTCTGCCTCGAGAGCACTGGATTATTTCATTTTACCACACTACCACTAGCCCTTCTTCCATTTTTCTTTTCACTGCAAACCATGTTCGAAGCACTATGCTAAATGTTTTACAGGTTTATGTTACTTGAGCCTCTCAATAACATATGGTATAACTCTTTGCAGTTCACAGATGGGGAAACTAAGGCTCAGATGAGTTAAGCCTGTAGAGGGGCCAGGGTTTGAAATCAGGAAGTCTGTTAACTGATACCAAATCCCTTACTCTTTGCCTCTCCCCAAATGTGTCTGCCATTAAATGAGCAAGAAGCCACTAGGTTGTCTCTGTATTTTGAGTGCATAACAAACTGCCACTAGGGTGCCACCAACCCAAAATCTGATGTAGAAGTAGAACAGTGAGTTTCACGAATCACAGACAGCCCAGTCATAACACAATACACAGATAAAGCAAATCCTCATCACATCATGCCTGTAAAAGGTGAATGCCTACCTGTAGACAATCAGGAGATCTCCCCACTTCACTTTTGTACCCAGCTTATAAAAGTCCATGTCTCATACCTCTGGGTAGAGCTCATTGAACCCCTTCAGGTTCTCATTGCACCAAACTCATAAATTGGTTTTTGCTCAAATAAATTCTACTGAATTACATTTGTCTAAAGTTTTTCTTTAAACGAGATCTATCATTGCTAGAGGTTCCACATATGTAACATGATTCCTTATCTCACTTGCTCTCCCCACTATTGTGTGAAGGTTTGTCCAAATTGCCCATCTTGTACCAACATTACACAAGAATCACCATCACGGGACCAGCAGGTGGTATAATGGTTAAGGCACTGGACTCCCACTTGGTCAACCGTGGTTTGAGCCCCAGACCCAGTGGCTTAAGATTCATGCTGGATGTATGTGCGTATGTGCCCTGAATCCTGAGAGGAGACTGGAGAAGGAATTGGAGTATTGTCATCTCTCCTGGGTGGGTGATTTCTTTCTTTCTGTCTCTCTGTCTCTCCAGGAAGTACGTATGGCCATAGCAAAAATCTCTCAAAAGAAAAAAAGAATCGCCATCACAAAACATCTCAGATAAGTTTTTCCAACTGTTCATGGCTTTTATTAGAAAACAAATATTCTGTTGGGTTTCCAAATATCTCTACTGCCCTTTCCTAGCATCACAACTCTGACTGACACTCCTTAATCCATCCGTTTTCCTTTTGTACATCTTTGCAGCGTTAGTCAATGTACAGGGAGAGAAATAGGTTAGCTATCATGTGAAGCAATCCAGTTTCACAATTTTGAATTTTTATCCACTAATTTTTAAGTCCAAAACGGTCTGATAAATGAAAGACCTTTCATAACTCAGTTGGCACCAAAGCCTGACAGACCTGAACTCATTTGGCAACAACACCTGCCCAGAACTGACTGAGGCTATTCTTAGCCTCCATTGATCGTAATCAGCTTGAATGTTCACACGTTTCGCTGCAGCAATCTCAGTTTTTTTCTCCATGGGGTGTGGCCTGGGACCCCACTGGGTATCTCACGTATGATCTAGTTACCTTATTGTCACTACAAGATTCCCAGATCCCTAAATTACAAAACACTTCTGGATTCCAAGTCTTTCAGATACATAATTTTGTATGTATATTTTCTTTTTCAATCTTGCCCTTTTTCAGACTTAATCAATGTTTTCTCAAATCTAATACTTCGGTGAATGTCTATGGCTATTTCATAGCAACACTTTTAGGGAATTCTAGTGCTGTGGTGAAAGCACAACCCTCTTTAAAACTTTATTCCATACACAAAGTCATTACTTAATTTCTTTGTCCATTGTTTCATTATTCCTTGACCATAAGCACAGAAAACATTTTCCCCAAAGAATAAACTCTTTTTTCCCCTCAGACAATCTAAATGTGGGAGATTCCTTTTCAGACCATTGGTTGTTTATTAGATTGACTTTTGGATATATGTAAAGTAGTTTATAACCCCTATGGGTTCAGATTAACCACAATGTGATTAAATTTAAGGTGACCCAGATGAGTCTTAAATTTCTTTTTTTTTTTTTTTGAGAGGTTTTTGCTAAAGGGCGTGTGTGCTCATCAGAAAGACAGAGAGAGACAGAGAGACAGAAAGCAAGAAATCATCCCCCCCGGGGGGGGGGGG